AGAGCCTCGGACACAGTGTTTATTTCCCCGGGCCTCTGGCTCCCGCTGCAGAATCCTTGCATAAACCCGCCACCGTGGGCATAGCTGGAGGGGACGCGGGGTGGCGGCCTAGCTACCGACCCATTTACCTGAGGAAACAAGGCTTTCCCTGCAACGCGAAACCCCCGGCATTTCAAGGTTCTAACACAAACTGGACTAAACACCACTAAAACGTGCCCCCCTTTCCAGACTTGGTCAGGTAAGCTCCTTGTTCAGTTAGCACAAGACGGGAAAAAGACAGCTACATGGATAGAGGACAGACGGACACTGTTCCCCCTTGGGAGTCCTGCCGTCAGGCCCGCGCGGTGGCCCCCAAGAAGGTTAAATGAGCAGCACGGAGGAGGACAGTGTTTTTCACGAGAGGTATGCACAGTGTAACTGGAGGTTTTTGTTTTTAACCCAAAAAACCCCTATGCCTTTTCTTTCAAACCACGTTACCTAAGACAGACTGGAGTGCCACCTGCTGTGGAGACCTGTGTGGCCTCCCTTCGAACACCCAACACCTGGACATCACAGAGAGGCACTTGCAGTGTTTTATACAGTTTAAACTCCCATCAGCAAGTCGGGATTTGCCAAACACAAGAGTGTCTAAACTCAGTGGCTGAACGGATCCACACTTTATGGTTCCTTAACCTGCAATCAGAGAACGTGAAGATCAAGCCATGAAGTTCAGGACCAGTGACAGGCACGCTTGGTCACCAGCCAGCGCGCACGCGGGTCGAGACCACAGCCACCACCCAGCACGCACACGAGACCCCCTCCTCCCAGGGCACAAGACGAAGACGTGTGCACGTGGTGGCATTTCACGCTTGACCAAACGTAGCCTCTGCTTTCCCGGTATCTAAGATGAGAAGAAGTTCAACTTGGTGGGTTAACCGGGTTAAATGCAACTGAACGTGACCTCGGGAAGACGGGTCGGGTCTGGCGCCCGGATGACAGACTCCTGCTGACGGGAGGACGGCGCGGCTGCTACGGTCTCGAGAGTCACAGAGGCGCACGGATGCCACATGCGGGGAGCGGGGGACATGATGAAGACCGCGCGAGGCGGCTCCGCGGCCGGACGCCAAGCTGTGGGGGCTGTCGTGGGGCCGCCTCGGACGCACACGCACCCTCTGGGGGCCCCCGCCAAGCCCGCGGAGGGGGACAGTCCAAATGTGGGCACGCAGAGGAGAGCCCCCGCCATCCACACGCAAGGCCCGGACGCCCCGACGCAAACGGACACGCCGGGAATCAGCAGACGAGAGCCCGCACGCCACCAGAGGGGCTGCGCGGGCCCCTCTGGGGGCGGCGTGCCCGCAGGTCACTCCAGCTCCTCCCAGTCGTCGGTCAGGTGGCCTCGGCTCTGCCGTCGGATGCCAACCAGCTTCCCGGCCGACCGGAGGCTCCAGCGCGAGCTGTTCCCTGAGCTGGCCAGGCTGGTGTATTTGCTGCAGCCGCCAGCGCCCTCCTCCCAGCCCGGCCCGGACGGGTGGCTGCTCGCGGGGTCGCCCGGCCCAGCGCTCACGTCCTCCAGAGCAAGTCGGGGAGGCTCCCAGCCTTCGATCTCATCTGGCTTCTTCGACTGTATGTTCTGTTTTAAACCCAAATTGTCCCAAAATCCCGATTTCTTCTCTGTCTTCAGCTCTTCCCTCAACCGTAAGTTAGCTCTGCGGGAGACAAGAGGGCAAGTGTCGGTGGCCGCGGCCCTCAGGGCCTCAAGCAGGGTCTGCTGTATACACAGAACATTCTTTGGTGAAAACTTTAAATCATTTAGTAGGGGAACACAAACCTGCAGTGTCAAACTTGAAAGTCAGAAAAGAAAACTTGGTCCCTACACGTCAGAGAAACCAAAGGCCGTATTTTAAGAAGACATGCCAGGCGGCACACAGGCAGAGAGCTGGCTCCCAGGGAGACACTCGAGTGTTTTGAGTGCAACAAGAAACGCGGGGTCAAATTCAGAAACACAGGGATGGACATTCCTCTCATCAAATCGGTCTTCAGAAGGCTTATCACACTTAGCAGGCTTGGCTGAAGCGCTGAGTGGGGAACTCGTGGAAACCATGCCCCGTGAAGATGGGACGCTGCGATGGGGGGGCGGGGGGGGGGCGGCGCGGAGCACCAGGATGTGTGCGTTGCGGGCTGGTCCCACAGCCGGACTGGACTGAGGGGCCCGTGCACACAGTCCAGCCACAGGAGCGTGCGGAGAGGTCACGGCCAGGGTGCCGCCCAGGCGTCCTCGGGCCTCAACCGAGCACCTGGCCTGCGGTCCGGCTCGGTGCCGTTGGCAATACCACTCAGCTGTCGCTGAATTTGGTATTTTCGTGTTTAAATACACTTTTTAGAATTTCAGGTACAGTAAACGTCAATGTGTCAGTTTAAATATATTCAATTTTCCAAAATCTTTTACAGTTCACCAGTCCTTTGCATTTTTAACTTTTTTCCCTTGATTTTTTAAAGCTAGAATATCTCCATGGCTACAGGCCCTGGAAGGCTAACGCGTTCCACTTACAATTCTGAGTGTAAGAGCTCGTCTGAGGAAACGCCTTCTTCCACTTTTCCATAACCTCTCAAAAGGTCCTTCTAGCCACCCTTGTGACCTTCTCCCAGAAAAACATTTTACTCGTTTTGTCTCCTGAGTGTCAAAACTAGTACAACCCACTTCTGTCTACTCCCCGGGGAAGGAAACCCTCCTATCTGCCCGCGAGTCGGAGGGACGGACCACAGTTTTGAGGTAACGTCACCCGCGGCACCTGCCTCCCTGGAGACCATAGCACTTGAACCCACGGACACTTACCCTTTGGACTTGGGGGATTTACATCTTTCAAGCAGGTGCTGTTCATCGTCTTTATTAAACAGAGAAGTCACTTCCTTCCAGCCTCGGAAACTTGCTCCCTGAACCTAGTAAGAGGTTAGAAAAAGATAAAATCTGAGGTAGTAAATAAACAGTAACCATGGAGCTTGAAGTTAGAAAAGAAACCAGCATGGCCTGCCTTCCTCCGCCGTGTCTGCACACGGGCAGTTCCCCCTGGCTGTAGGTGACCACAGAGGTCACACACATGGCACCCGCCACCAGCATGTCCAGGCCGCCAGGGTCACTCCCCCATGCTCCGGAACAGGCTGGCCAACAGCCCTATGTTGGGACAGCCATACCAGGCTGGGGTGGGCGGGGAGGGGGTTGGAGAGGAGGTCACTTTACTGAGTCTGTCCCAGTCCAGATGTGTCTCAGTCAATGCCTGGCACCTCAGACTCAAAGGTCTGTGTTAATAAGGAATGGAGGAAAAGGCAGGTCCCCTGAGCAGGTGCCTTGTGCATGAACTCACCGAGCTGGGCCTGGATTTCTCTTGTTTGTGAGTGGAGGGGAACAGAGGGGACTCCTAGGGGGCAGACCTAGCTTTCGGATACTTTGACATGTTAAATATGTAACATAAAGTGACTGTGGACACTGGACCAAGAGGCTGCATGATGGCCACGGCTTCCGACAGTATCTGAGAACAGAGAAAATGGCTCGTTAACGAACCTGCTGGGTGACCCGATGGCCCAGCAGCCCCGAGAGGGTCCAGCCCAATCCTGAGTGTAAATGTGGGTGCGAGCTGGTCGGGGCCGCCCCATGGGAGAACTGTTCTCGATGAGGAGGCCTTTTCAGAGTGTGCAGATGAGCTGGGGAGACGGCTACGTCCTCCCGTGCTGCGGTCACCAGGCGGGGGGACGTGAGCCAGCAGCAGTGCTGTCCAGCCCCGGGGTCCTCTCTGTTCTTAGCTTCCCTGTCGACTCTGTATCAACTTCTGCATGTTAATAAATTTCCATTTGTAACTTTTCAGTCTTTCTACCGTGTGCCCTGGCCGTTCCTCACCCTCCCCAGAAGCCAAAAGCTTCTTTTACCAGGAAGGTCAGAGTTCGTGGGCTCATTCTGTGGGACATCAAATCCTTGTTAGTTCACAGATCTGTTGAAGACCTGGGTTCAGGCAGTGAGGATGGGGGTCTCTACGGACAGGTGACACTGGAAGAGGCAGAAGTCACATGGAACTACACGGACAGATGATAGATGGCAGCAGACCCACAAAGCAGAGGAGCCGGCAGTGAGTGCCCGTGTGACTTGGTGGGGCGGGTGGAACTGTGTGCAGCCACGGCCGGCCGGGCACTAGGCTCTGTGGGCCTGACGCCCGTGCCACAGACTGAGCTCTGACCACAGTGGTAGAAAACTAGACATCGTTAAAGGAGGAAAGCGAGAAACTCAGGAACACCTGGAAATTAAAAACCATTCTTCTGAACAGCCAACGGATCAAAGGAGAAATTTAAACAAAAATCTTGAGACAAACAAAAATGGAAAACAACATACAGAAACCCGGGGGATGTAGCAAAAGCTGTGCTAAGAGGAAGCTCGTACAGAAACAAGAAAGCCTGCGAGTAAACCACCTAACACTGTGTCTCAAGGTGCTAGAAAAGGAATAACAAACTGAGCCCAAAGCTGGCGGAATGAAGGAAACGGTAAAGATTAGAGGAGAAATAAGCGAAATACAGAACATAAAACCGACAAATCTTTAGCTAGACTCACCAAGGAAAACAGGAGCCACGTGAACAAAATTTTATGTGAAAGACAGAAGACATGACAGCTGATAGCTCATGACCACAGGATGGTAAGAAGCTATGAACACCATACACCAGCAAACTAAATGACCTCGAAAAAATGGATACATTCTTAGAAACATACAACCTACCAAGACTGAAGTAGGAAGAAATAGAAAATCTGCACAAACCATTACTACGAAGGAGACTGAATCCGTAATCAAAAGTCTCCCAAGGAAGGAAAGCCCCGGACCAGTGGGCTTCACTGGTGACTCTACCGAACACTTTAAAAGAATTAACACTAATCCTTCTCAAACTGTTCCAAAAGCTAAAAGAGGAGGGAACCCTCCCAAACTCATTTACAAGGAAGGCCCGCATTATCCTAACAGCAAAGCCAGAAAAGGACACTTGAAGCAAAAAAAAAAAAAGAAAAAAAATGGGCCAGTACCCCTGATGAATATAGATGCAAAAATTCTCAATAAAATACTAGCAGACCCAGCTTCACAGCACGTTGTAAGAATCCCTCGCCGAGGTCAAGTGAGATTTATCCCTGGGATGTGAGAATGGTTCAAATATGCAAGTTGATAAACACAGTCCTTCACAAATGAAAGAATCAAAGGAAACAATCTTACCTCAGTAGATGCAAAAAAAGTATGTAACAAAATGCAACACCCACTCATGATTAAAAACTCAACAAATTCGGTATAGAAGGAACAGAACAACTGAGTAAAGGTAATAAATGACAAGCCCACAGCTAACATCGCACTCTGGTGAAAGGCTGAAAGCTTCTCTCAGATCAAAAACGAAACAAGGATGCTCACCCCTGTTCAACCTAGCAATGGATGTCCTAGCTAGGGCAACTGGACAAGGAAAAGGAGGAAGGGGCGTCAGAACTGGAAAGGATTATGTGGAACTGTCTCTGTTTGCAGAATACATGATTTTATATACAGAAAACCCCACAGACTCCAGCAAACCACTGTCAGGTCTAATCCACGACTTCAGTGCATCTGCAGCGTGCAAATGAACATTCAGAATTCAGTAACCTTTCTTTATGTTAACAGTGAATTTTCTAAAAAGGAAATAAAATGCTCCCCTTTACAACAGCATCAAAAACAATAAACTACTTAACAATAAATTTAATCAACCGGTGAAAGAGCTCTACACTGAAAACAACAAGACACTGGCGAAAGAAAAGTGAAGAGGACAGAAAGAGAGAGAGAGTATCCTCTGTTCACGGACTCCAGCGATACTGCCCAAATCTCCATACTTCCCAAAGCTGACTACACACTCAGTGTGATCCCTGAACGATTCCAATGGTATTTTTTTTTTGACAATCCTAAAAGTGTGTACAGAACCACAAAAGACCCCAGATAGCCAAACCACTAAGAAAGAAAAAGTGGGAAGCCCCACGCTCCTGGATTACGAAGCTGGCATAATAAAACCCCATGGCACTGGCAAAGACACAAGGACACACAGGGAACAGAACGAGCAGCCCAGAAATACACCCTTATACACAGTCACCCAGTACCTAATGAGAGCCATTAACATTCAGTGTAGAAAAGACAAGCTTCCTCAGTAAAAGTTTTCGGGAAAACTGGCCCACTGTCTTGTAGCACTCACAAAAATTAGCTAGAAATGCATTAAAGACTTAAATTTAAGACTGGAAAACCATACGGGGCACCTGGGTGGCCCAGCTGGTTGAGCATCCAACTTCAGCTCAGCTCATGATCACGGTTCATGGGTTCGAGCCCCGCGTCAGGCTCTGTGCCGACAACTCAGAGCCTGGAGCCCGCTTCAGATTCTGTGTCTCCCTCTCTCTGTGCCCTTCCCCTGCTCACGCTGTGTGTGTCTCTCTCTCAAAAACATTTAAAAAATTTTTGAAGGAAAGAAAAAGAGACTGGAAAATCATGGAAGTCCTAGAAGAGAACAGGACAAAGCCCCTTGACATGGGTCGTGGTGACGCCTTTTGAGTGTGACACCTAAGGAAGGCACAAGCAATGAAAGCAAGACTACACAACTGGGACCAAACCAGAGTCTGCACAGGACAAATGACCAGCAAAATGAAAAAACAAACAAACAAACACCCCAGCCTGCAGAATAAGGAAAAAATGTGCAAACCATGTAGCTGATAAGGTGGTAATATCCAAAATATATAAAGAACTCTACCTTAATAACAACAAAACAATAATCCTATTTTAAAATGGGGAAAAGATCTGAATAGGAACCTTTCCAAGGCCACGTACACACTAAGGTGCCCCACGTCACCCCTCACCAGGGAGATACGAGGCACTTCTGTCACAATGTCCGAACTCAAAAACTAGAAACTGCAGGTGCTGGTGAGGATGGGGAGAAACCACTGGTGGGAAGGTACCTGGGTGCGGCCACTGTGGAAAACTGTGTAGAGGTTTCTCAAACGACTGAAAATGGAAGTACCATGTGATCCAGCATTTCACTCCAAGGAGGCAAAACCGACACTGAAGGGGCACCCGCACCCCGTTTTCAGAGCAGCACGAGCATTATTCACAAGAGCCAAGATAAGGAAATAGCCTGAGTTTCCACTGACGCATGAAGGAAACGTAGTACACACACAAGGGAATAGCATTCAGCCATAAAACAAGAAGGAAGTCCCGCTGTTTGTGACAACGTGGATGGACCTCGAAGGGATTGTACCAACGGAGAAATCAGAGAAACACAAATACTGGGATCTCACTTGTTAATGGCATCTTAAAAACAAACTCAAGAAAAAAGCGAACAGATTTGTGGATACTGGAGGCACAGTGAGGGGGTGCGGAATTGGAGGAAGGGATCAAGTGGTACAAACTCCCAGCTAGAAGATAAGGAAGTACGGAGGTGCAACGTACGACATGGGGACACGGCCGAGTCTGTGATACATCCTAAAAGTTCTATGAAAAGAAAAAACATCTTTCCTTCTCATGTAGGTGACACGATGTCGCTGTGCCCAGAATTCCAGCCGCCGTGCTGCACGTCTGGTGCTCAGCAGTGCTGTCTGCAGCGACACGTCCATAAAATGAGAAATGAAACAAGGGAACCTGCAAACTTCACCTCCTTGGATCAGGATACAGACCCTTATCCATGCCATCCTTCAAACTTCAGTCTCACACTTCATTATCTCCAACAAGATGTCCCCAAATTACTTGAAAACCAAATAGAGAGTCATCTGCATTGTCTTCGGTTGCTCCTCAGGCAATAAAATGCTAGGCTGAAGTGCTTTAGTTTACCCCAAGGAAGCAAGGGCAAACTCTTTAATTCCTGGCATCATGAGCAACCCCAGAAGCACCTGTTCGTGGTACTGAGAAAGCAGCGGCTACTGTCCCCAGGGGCCTGCTGCAACTCTTGGTCCAAAATGTACCAATACACAGATTTTACCACAACAGGAAAAACTACACCAACACTGAATGGTGATGGGGGCATCTGGGGGGTTCAGTCAGCTAAGTGTCTGACTCTTGATCTCAGCTCAGGTCATTATCTCACAGTTCATGGCATGAAGCCCCG